GATGTTTTCATTTTTTTCAGTATTCTGATATATGCGCAAGTCTCTCCTTTTATCTACGTGTGCATTTGTGTATGTGTCGATGAACAATTATAACGATGTAATTGCGTCGGTCGCGTAAGTGACATCCCGATCTCGATCGATGGAATTTTATCGGTAATTTTTAGTATATTTCTTTACCGGGAAACATCTTCGCCATTTGATTTCGGAAATATCGAAAGGCATCTATTTTCATCGCTTCTCATATTTCTCAACGTTCCGCAGAATGCCGCAATGAAAAAAATTCTCTCTCTCTCTCTCTCTCTCTCTCTCCCCCTCTCTATCTATCTCTCTCTTTCCCGACGGGACATTTGTTTCACGGAAACAATAAGATCAGAGTTTGACAAAAAACGTCAATTGTACGCGCGACGAGCTAGCGGGGGCGTGCGAGGGAGTATATGACTTCAATGGAAGTGTTCATTTGGGGACATGAATTTCAATCGATTCCGCGGCAGAGGGTCGTTGCGAAAGGAGCCACCTTGTATGGGCGCGCGGAGGGTGTGCAATATGTATCTTCGCGGGGTTGTAGTAAGGAATGTATACAGGTGAATTCTCTATGGATACAAGGGTTATAGAGGGTAAGGTCCCGCAAGCGATATTAGGTGGAAGGGGCATCTGTTCGCTATGGCCATGTATGTAAGCCGTTAGTGCCAATATAGAGTGTCCGTATTCCACTACGTCCGATATAACGTTTCAGGCTGTATTATATATTGTCCGTAATCGAAGATCTCCTAAGACCACCTCTCCAGCTGATAGGAATCCCGGAAGAAGCACGAAATATTGATACTCGCGAGCGACAACACGGCTCCGTAAGGAACAAATCTCTTCGTGTCGCTGTAAAAATGTGAGCGCGATCGATGAAACTTCAGCCGGACGCGGTCAGCAGTACAGGTTGTAACATGTGCATAATGCAGACGCGCGCGCGTATTGAAAAACTGATATGGCGAAATCGTGGATGTGGATGAAACTCGTTTATTCGAATTATTCGCGGCCGCATCGAGATGCTCAAAATTGCGAGGAGACTTCCTCGAGGACATTTCGTCTTAATTTTTACCAAAAGAGAGGTGGAAAGAGATAATCGCGAAAGAGTCGCTTCCAACTTCGTTGAGGAAACCGCCTGGAGAAAAGTCGCGCTTTTTCGTACGAGTTGGATAGAAAAAAAAAAACATAGATTTATCATGGCGGGAGAAATTATCCGTACACATCGCGTTATTAAACAACGGGCGACATCGATCGGTGCGGTGAAAACGGACTTCATTAACAAAGCGTACCGATCGAGGGCTCTTAATTAATTCCGCCGGGGCGAAAGTTTCGCAGTTACGAGGGCGTCCGGAGCCGCACAATGAGCGCAAGGCGGTTTTCTTAATTGAGAAAAATGATTTAATTTCTTCGTCGTATCGTTCGCGAATGGACGTCGCGGGGAGAGGGGGGGGGCGAGGAGAAGGTGAAGCGGACGGACGAGCAGCGGAGAGCGTCGGTCGGGCTTGGCTGGGACGGGATAACTCGAGAGTGAAAAGAGGAAATGGGAGGCAGACCGAGACTCTTATCAAATATGAACGGGCGGGGTGGGAGGGCGGATAAAGACGACGGAGAAGTACGATGGGCATGAAATATTTGCCGGTGCCGCGAGTGCATCGCACTTTCACCCGACTAGGACGCCTCGCGCGCAGAGGTGGAAAACTTCTGGTTGTGTATTAACCGCGTTGCGAGGGAGAAAGAGAGTCTATATAACGCCGCTGAAGTTGTAGTTTCAGCAGCCTCTGTAACACGCTACTTTCTGCATGCTGTAATGGGTGAGAGTTACTGAAAATCACACTCTTTCACGCGTCTTCGCTCGCGATGCGCTCGCGATATACAGAGCGCTCCACAATCGCCGGATGGAAAGATGGACGGTTTATTGTCCTCACTTAATTTCTCGCTCCCGATCGACCTCATCGATTACTATCGATTGTCCACGCATTGTCGTTGAGACGAATGTTATCTCCCTTCCTCCGCTATTTTCTTCTTGTTCTGTTTAGTTCTATTTCGTAGTTCTTGAGGAGAAACATTCCACAATTCCGGAGCACCTAGTATAACACGGTGAAATACCGCCGTGTTTAGTTCTCGACATCACCGGTTATACCGCGGAACATCTCGTTTCCTCCTACGTCCAAACTCGCGGTCGTGTTGCGCGCTTGATTGCCTTGAAAAATGCAAGCACCTCTTAATTCCAGATGCCCTTTATATTCCCTCGTCTTTTTTACATGTAGTAAAACACATATATAATATGTAATAAATGTGTGTGTGTGTGTGTGTGTGTGTGTAGAATATGAGATTTCATCTCGTGTTCCGAGATCGTACATCTCGTCATCCTTGGCATCTTGCGTAGTAAAAATTTAACAAACACATATCGCGACATCAGGTATCGCTCGAAACGTCAGCGATATATCTGTCGCTGTTACATCTCCGCGAAGTGTCACTTGTTTCAAATCGGATCCGCTCCGAAAATTGCGCGGGAATAGCGCGGAGTTATATCGCACTTTTTTATTGTGCACTTTCAATTCGCTCGGCCAATCCGTTTACGCGTTGAGCCCCACCCTCCCGCTTACTCCTTACGCATAAAATTTCACGTACGTCGCGATACGATATCGCGTTTTTACTTCTTACGCGTCACGCCGCGGGTATACGAAACTGCCGCGCATAAGCCGTATCTCTATCTACATCCCGTCGCTCGGCTCACGCCGACGCAGACTCGTCGAATTTTACATCCGACTTTTCCGGCTGATTATCCGGTTTGCGTCGATTACGCGCCGCCGCCGGCGCCGCCGGCGCCGTGCCCGACACTCCTCGGCGTGAATCGAAATCGTCGTAAATCTCGATCGGAGCAATTCGCAGCTAGACCGCGCAATAATTAACGCGGCCAAACTCCTAATTGATTGTCTCGCTGATTTACCGAGTCGCACAATTAATCGGACATGAGTTATCGGTCCGAGTAGCGTCGATAAACGAGAATTTAATTACCGAAGACCTAATTACGACTTACGACAGTGGCGAGAAAAAGAGGGAGAGGAAGAGCGAGTGAGCGACACGTTAGTCTGCCGAAGTTTTCGGCACGAATCGGCAAACTGAACGGCATTAGCGGGACTGAAGAATGTCCCGGAAAAAAGGAGAGAGATAGAGGAGACGGAGAGCCGGAGAAAAAGCGGCTGGGAGATCAAATGAGAGAATCACTGTGAGAGGATGGAGCACAGGAGACAGGGGTGAGGGGGAAGGGATTGGTGGGCGATCTGGCGGAGGACGGAAGGGGCGTAAAACGGAATAGCTAGCGAAGAGAGTAGTAGACATAGACGTAGTGAGGGAGAGGGAGAGAGAGAGAGAGAGAGAGAGAGAGAGAATAGACTAGAAGGGTGAAAGGAGGTTGGGGGAAGAAGTGGCAGAGACTTACATTTCCCACGGGGTATCCCTGCTGCTCCCGGGCTCCTTACTTACGGATTGATACTCAATTTCCACCGAGTTTAGCCCCCATCGAGGGGATCATTGCGCCAGATCGCGAGAGCTCCTTTCGATTTCGAATAAATTCGATAATGGCGAATAGGTAGCTGCAGCAGTAGCAGCGGTTGGCACGGCAGACGCGCGCGACGGTGCGGGATTTTCGCGAGCGTTTTTGCCTTTAATCGAGGGAACTAGGTGCCGACTTAGCGTCGACGAGTCCACGGCATTGTTGTACCGGGGATACGTGGCAATGTCGATTTGCAGAGAGTCGGCGCGATTATGCGAGCGGGTGATAGAGTGAATTGGAAGAATTTATGTGAGTCTCTCCCCTTCTCTTTCTCTCTGTCTCTCTCTCTCTCTCTCTCTCTCTCTCTCTCTCTCTCTCTCTCTCTCTCTCTTTCTCTCGCTCTTTGTGCGCGCGTGAATCGAACCGGAACTCTGCGTCACGGATGATTGCGCGAGGTATATTGTGCGAGTTGCAGCCGGTGTTTCGCGCTTTGAAACGACGATGTCGAGGAAGAAATTGCATTGTCGCGATATTTGTGACAACGTGATGACGTGACTTCGCGCAACGTCGCCGATTACATCAATGGATGTCGCCCGCGGCAACATTTACTCACCGCGCGCAAAATCGCCGAGTGTGCCTCGCCTAGATTAGTCGTAAGAAGAAAGTCGGATCTCTCTCGGTCCAAGCGTGCTACGCAGACATTTACATCGGAACGACCTTTACATTACAGCCATTATCGCAATCAAGAAGTTGGTACGGGCCGCGTTTCCCCGGGATTGCGAGGAGCGAGGGAGAATGCTCGAACACTGCCGACTTACTTACTAATGAACCCCGCTCGATCCCGGGAACGGGTAATTGTAATGCGCTCGAATTAAGTCCGGGAGAAGAAGAAGTATGAAGTGCAAACGACAATTTTCCGCGACGGAAACACCGCTGCGCCGATGTAACGGTTCCGGCAATTACGGCGAATTATATTAACCACTTTGGCGCCTCGCGCCACCCCCTAACCCGGCAGCCCCTTCCGCCTTCGGCTCGGAAAGCCGTCGGCGATGCACATCCGCCCGCGCCACTCTCGTACATTCCTCGTGCAGCCTCGTGTCGAGGAGGCCTGTTATTCAGGCTCAGGAACTCGCGCGAAACTAATTCCAAGCCGCAAGACAGAAGTCGACTTTAATGACTGTCGAAAAGTTACACGCGTCCTTATCCGGATCGAAGTTCGAAGCGAGACCGGGGCAGGATCGTTCTGGACTTGGCGTTTCTACGTGTTCGCCGTGTATATCGCTCGGCTGGTAAGCCGATGCAACGTTTATTTATTACGAGAACTCGGGCGCGCGAAATTCCCGCATCGATTGGCTGGCCGCTATATATATCCGTCCATCTCCCGCGGAAATTACGGTCTCGTGGACCCGGCGAATTTATTAATTCCGCTCGACCGCGCGCGCGCGCGCGCGCGCCGCAGAAGTCAGGCTATGATTCGTCAACTTACAGAACTGAATCCCATGACCTTCAGTAGCCAGACGGTGAGGGCGAGATTGAGGACTACGATGATCATGAGGGTCAATATGAGGGAGTAGAGGCATCTTTTCCTCCAACCGTAGACTCCTAACCTGAAGCCGCCTTTACACGGCGTGGTACCGGAAGCGCGCTCCTCCAACCCGGACGTCGGCGTCCTCGAGGACGATCCCGCCGTTTGGCGAGCTCCGCCGCGACGACCTGCACTACCGGATGTGCAAGGCTCGTCCGACCATCCCCCTTGGCCCCGGGACATCCTGAAAATGCAATCTCGATTTATCTAACGAAATGCGTATCACCTCTCGCCGCTGGAGATATCATTCGGCGCGCTCGCTTTCGCCTCTTAACGATCACGAATTCGATTAGTCCGAGAGCAAACGTGCGCGAGCCGAAGATGCGCCCACGGCGCGTCAGGCCGGGAGAATTATTCGGGGACTGCGCGAGTGGATAATCACGTGACAGTTTAGCCCCGGGCGATTTGGTCGGAAATAGATCCCTCGGAATTCGGCTTCGTTTCCGAAGCAATCGCGCACTTATTCGGGCCGCTTTGTGCCTCGCACCGCGCCCGCTGTTCAAACACTTTCATGCGCGTTCTTGCGCCATGAGCGATTTCGCGCCGTAAATTGGCAGATTACTGTTGCGAGATACAAACGAGATGCGTGTTATAGCTATATAGGTCGTTACAACGTACAGTTGCGCGAGCCATTAATAAGACTACAATTACGAGGCTGTTCTTTCTGCCGCGATCATTTATCAACGGTTTATACCTCATTCTTGAGCAGCACCGGCTGCGCGGAATTGTTCGGGGGAGGCGAAACGCGTCACGAGAGACAGATCTTCCGGTCTTTCTCTTTTTTTCTCTCTCCGCTCCAACAACGTGAGATACTTTATATCCGACGTGCACGGCCTGTAAAGATGAACTCGCCGAAGATCACCTCGCAAAGCTCTCTTTCTCTCCGCGCCGATAACCGAGTGATAACTTTGTCGATCCGCCGCTGTCGCCGAGCCCGATAACATTTCCACCGCGAGGTCTATCCGCCCAATGGCTTGTAAGTTGCATCGGCACACACCGGCACTCGTTTGACCCGCAACGGCACTACAGCTCGAGCGAATGCCGCTGGAATATACAACAGTGATTACGAACGGCGACTGCGATTTATTCTCGCCGATCACGTCCTCCTTAGATTAACGGTGACGGTGAAAATGAATACGCCAACTTTCGCGACGCGACACGTCGGAACGTCACACCTCGCGTCGCCCACGTGAGCATCGCGCCGCGCGATCGTTTTTCATATTAATGATAACGATCAATTAGGGGGCTTTGCCGAAGCCTCGAAGATGACGACGCTTCTCGCCTTAATGCGCTCTCTCTCTCTCTCTCTCTCTCTCTCTCTCTCTCTCTCTCTCTCTCTCTCGCACAGGACGATACGCGATATCCTGCAGCGTTCATTATACGAGAGATTCTCCGTCGGCTACAATTGACGATAGATATGAATTTGGACGTTACGAACGTCTCTAAAGCACGTGGGCATTTGTCACGCGCGGCGCTCGTCCTTTCGGCGAATACTCTGACCTCATTTACGCGAACCATTCCTCTCGCGCAGGCTGATGACTTTTAACGTCGCGACGCCGCACAGTGGGGCCAGATGACATTCTTTGACATTGAAAATTCTCTAGAGACCTGAATTTCCAACCGATCATCGACCTAACCTAATGAACGAGGTTGATCCTGAATAAATTCCAAAGAAATCTGTCTAGCCGAAATTTGGAAGAGATTATCGGTTCAGGGCTTTAGGGTTTGTGGCTTTAGGGTTTGTCTTAAAAGTTTATCGTTTAAAGTACAGTGTCTCGAATTCGACCTCAATGGATTCGAGCCTACACTAGGAAAAAAAATTTAGTATCTCTAACCAAACTGTTTGGTTGAGGCATTTTTTAATAGCAACCAAATATCTTGTTTTATATAACAAAATATTTAGTTGTCACAACTAAGTATATTTTTCTGCTTTGTTCTCTGGACCAAATGATTTTGTTCTTAGACTTTATATATAAAAATTTAGCATTTTAATTATTTTATCCATAAAAATTACATAATAACGAAATATTATTTTACATAAACTAAAATAATGCCCAATGGATACTATTTTGTCTTTCTGTGTACTAAAATTTAGATTTTATATATTAAGAAAAAATTATATATGTAGTATTTTTAACAAAATTCATATAGTTAAAGCTTTTTGGTTGCTATAACAAAAATTTTACGTTATACGAACAAACCGTAATCAAACAAGATATTTGTTTGCAGGAACTAAACAGTTTTGTTGGGCATATTTTAACCAAATTATTTTGTTGTTACAACAAAATTTTGGTTCACGCAACAATACATTTTTCCTAGTGTATGGGTACTAAATGCGAGATCCCAGAACTTATAATCACCTTTTAGAAAAGTCAGAATTTCAAAGCTCATCAGCTCAGCTGAAAAGTTCTCGAATTGATAGATTCCTAGGTTGATGGGCTTAAGATTCAAAATCCCTGCTTAACGGGTGCTTAACGGGTCTATATTTGATGTTTTTGTATTTTGGGCATATGAGTTTTGGATTAATGGGTTTCTGCTTCAAGATCGATAAATCTCGAGGTGTCTGTTGATTGGTTTCATAGTTTCAATCCGCTGAATACGCTGTTAGATAGAAATAAGTGTCGAATAATGAGTATTTCACAAGTTTCTCGCGTTTAACGATAATTTTTCCTCTTTTGGGGCTAGTAATTCGAGAAAAAAAATTTGTTTTTAATTTTGACAAGACAAATCTCTTCGGATTCAGGATCAACCTCATCCATTGGTGTCGATGATCGTTGGAAATTGGTTGGAAATTCAGGTCTCCAGAGAATTTTCAACCAAAGAATGTCATCTGGCCCCACTGTGCGCCGTCGCAAATCAGCAGCGCGATAACGTACTTTAGCGGCTCGGAAGCGAGCGAGATAGTCCGTCGGATCACGATGCGGAAGCTAATGTGTGACTCTATTTTTGTCGGACACACGCATCCGAACGGGATAAAATGAGCACGAAGAGGCGGCGACCGGAGTATCGCGAAACAAAGAAACGGGATATGTACGGGAGAACGCTAACGAAAGGAAACGAGAGACACGAGGAACTTATGCAAAGCTGGCCGCAAAATGCCTGACGTAACTCTCCTACCTAATCCCGAAATCGTAAGGGGAATCGTAAGGGGCGTGGGAGAGGAGGGGAGGGTTCGAACGAGAGAAAACTGCTGCCTCCTCCCTCCGCCCTGTTTGCCTTCCATCCTCGCTCTTCGAATCGCAAACCACCCCCGGCCGCTTCTTTACTTATCCGTTTTTATTTTCCTTACGGAACGAGGAGCGTTAGTATGGGATGCCATATACAAAGAGGCGGCGAGGGAGGAGAGGGACGGAGGGGGAAACGAAGGTCGGCGATGGCGTGCGCGCGAGGAGCGAGAGCTAAAATATTCAATGCCCGCCCTCTCCGCTCTCTCTCTCTCTCTCTCTCTCTCTCTCTCTCTCTCTCTCTCTCGTGGATAATTATGCCTCTCGCGGGTATAAAGAGCTCGGTGGCTCGAAATTAAAAGCACCGGGGATAAACTAGCGCGAGAAAAGCAGCACGCGGTCTCGCCGGCCAGTTCAATTTCCCGACAGGATCCCGCGACCGAGCGCGCCGTGCTGGTCTTTTCGCGACAGCGCAATTCTTTCCCTGTCAGGAGACGTACTCGCCCTCTTCGTCCTCGCGCGTCCTTTCGTCTCCACGAACGACGTTCGACATTCTTCAGAGCGCCTAATTCGCGGGCACGCGAGTCCGTCCCGTGTTAATTAGTTCGCTAATGAATCGCACGAGGCTCATGATTTGCGCAATGTTAATCGCACAACCAACGACGTATCGTCAGGCGACATCGGCGTCGGCAGCGATAAAATTCCTGTCGCGATAAATCGGCGGCGGCGGCGGGGGGGGGGGGTTCACTTCTGCCGAGCGAAAACGCAGGCACGCGCGAGCACGAAAGTTCCTCATTAGGGCCACCGTAAAAATTACAAATGAATTTCGCGATCCGCCGCGGCGATAGCGTAAATCCGACTCGAAGGAAAGAGCGAAGAAACGAAAGTAATCGGTTGACGTGTGCTGCGCTTTTGCGCGACGGACGCGCAGCGGCTGGGAGGGAGGAGGGGCCGAGCCGCGGCGAGAGTGTAAATTTATTTAATGCCCTTTGCATATCTCTCCTTTTTAAGTGTCCGCGGGGTACAAAAGGGAGGGCGGGAGCGCGGCGCTGTAGGAGAATGGGCATTATGAATTCAGGCTTCAAGGCGCAATTATAACGGCGGGAATATTTCATGGCCCATAAATAGCGGCGGACGCGTATGTTAAACGTTCGCCGGAACTTTTGACGTAGCGCGAAGTTAGCGCGGCGACCATTATTTCACAGCGCCGAGCCGAAAGTGCATTGCAAGTTACGGAATTATTATCGCTACGGTAATCCGTAGCAGCCGGGAGATTTTTCACTCCTCGGGCGCCGCCCGTCGTCACTCGCGAAAAACTCGCGAGAATTTCCCCGAAGGCGCGGGCGGACGGACGGACGGACGGACGGATGGACGGACACGCGCGCCGGCGAGTGCGTCGATTCAGCGCGTCTAATACGGGACTGTACGCTTGTTCCGTCTCCGTTTCGCAGGAAATTCGGGTATTTGTTCGCTTAAATATAGGACGGTCTCTCCGGACGGGTCGTACGCGACGCGAAATATTCTCCCGGCAAGCGCGTACGCGCACATACACACACACACACACACACCGCCGAGCAGTTTACTTTCGGCAACGAACAATGGCCGGCTTAATAAAGTGTACGGAGGGCACAATTACGGATATCATTTATTTCGCGCGGGTGACAACGATGGATTACAACGGCAACCGCAATTTAGATTCTTTGCTGCTGCGATCTCAGGGACTCGCCGCGGGATAGATTTATTTCCCGCTTTAAGCGCCCAAAAGCCCCTTTCTGGATGCAGATAGGAGGGGACGTTGAATGAATTAATCTATACCACATTTGGTTGGTTGTAAGAGTGCTTAAACGGGGCCAGGAGATGTGTCGGAGGAGAAGTGTTGGGCGGTGGGTTGACGGGGTTGACGGGGTGGGAGGGGAGGGAGGGATGGAGGGAGAAGAGGGCAGCAGGCCTGCTTGTACAGCAACCGTTGTTTAAATCGTAAGCCGAGCTTAAATTGTCTGCCATCCAATCCTAGGTTTGC